TTTAGGTGTTCGGGCTGACGTATAACTAACTGGCCTGCATAAGATAACAGAAAAAAACAACAACACAGGTTTTAAGACAGGATTTCCTTTTTTTTAATAGAAATTTTCTAAATTTTGGGACAATATCATCTGATAAAGAGTACAGCTCGGCCCTGCTGTAATTATGATTTCCCTACAACTTTCATACATCCCCCACCTGCTTTTTAAGCAGATGAACATCTTGTTTGCATTCATCTTCCTCCCAGTGCTTCGATAGATGATCCTCAAGATGCTCTACGATGTAAGGGAACAGTATGTCCTGAAATAGAGAAGGTAGAACAAAGTTTATCGTCTGCATTACCATGAGGAAATGTTGACATATACTAGATGTTCTAATGGAATGATGCGTTCAGGGCACAGTGCTCTCAGTAGCTCTCAATAAAATACAAAAATATGATAATTCTCATGTTAACAGAAGTGACTTGCCAAAATAAAAAAAGGAAAATCTCTCAAAGGGGCTTGGCTCATGACGTCACCTTTATCACGACAAGAAAGCGCCTATTTACGACACTTTTAGTAGACCTTTGAAACCAAGACAATTTATTGACTGATCACTAAACAATAAAAAAGGGAAGATTATCACTTGTTATTGATATATTTGTTGGAAAAAAATAGTTTCAGAGTAAAGAATATACAAGAACTGTTCGCACACCTTTTCTGGACATATTCTCATTTATAACACATTAAACTTGCCTTAACAAACGTGATTGGCGTGGTGGTTCCCTCGATGTCCAGTAAAAGTGCAGTTGTGCAGGCAGGAATAGAAACAGTGGCCATTTCCTTTGTGTTTGTCCCGTAGGTCTACCGCTGGAGGCGGTTACCTGATGTTAGCTTAGCTTAGCTAGCACTAGCAGCAGCGGTTTCTTCCAGCCTAGTAACCCGCCCTCCCTGCTTCTCCAGACCGAATAGGTGAAACACGATGGAGTTTAGCGAGAATGCAAAGCAGATGATGTGTTTCTAACTGACTAACCATGCCAATACCCCGCAATTAGCTACCACACGAAGCTGTGATCGGTTCACATGTTCTGCTAACTTCAGCATCCAAACCACCAGGTGGCGACATTGTCTTCATTGTAACACAGTCTTAGGGCGCAGGACGTCAACACAGACGTCATGTTGTGAGAGGTAAAAAAGAAATAATAACTTTGATCCATTTAATTTTTGCTCTAAGACAAACATCGCCGTTTCTTTGGATGCGTCCGAACGTCCGCTTAATCCCCCAATCACCACAGAGATCAAGCAATATATTATAGTAATCTTCTTCTTCATTGTGAGATTGGCGGATTGCAAACAGTTTATAGGTGCATAGCGCCACCTACTGTACATCAGTGTGTAGCTCTATAGCTCCACATACTATATTCTATTTTATATTTTTGTGTTATGTAAACAAAAACAAAACAACAATGCTTTATTAATAACCAAATTTCCCTCCCTATATCCATCTATCCCTACAATTTCTTTAATACTCGATTCTCTCCCTTTTTCCAGTATTACTTCCCTCATCCTCTCTCTTTCAGTTGCATATTTAATGGAATTTATCAGAACAAGATCCACATTTTCTTCTCTTTCACAACCCTTACACGTATCGTTATTTCTCTTCCTTAGTACAAACAAAAACGTATTCAAGTAGATATGTCCAGTTCTTAATCTAGTATAAATTATCTCTTCCCTTCTGCTTTTTTCTCCATAATTTTTTAACAAATACAGATTTTTGAACCATATATAACCTTCTTCCTTTCTCATCTTCATCCCACTTATTTTTTTATTTATTTATTTTGGCCATAATTCTGTTTCTTTCTTTTTATTTATTGATTTACCTTCCCCTTTCCCAAATGGAATCTGATCTTTATTCTGCTTCCCTAAAGAATAATAATAATCTTCTTTATGGGATTTTTTGGTTGTTGGCACGCAACGAAATGGCGCATTACCGCCACCAACCGGTAAGGAGTGTCGCTACTACTTATACTGAACAAAACAAAACCAGCAAAGCCAAAATAATATTAAAATACTCTCAATTACATTGATTAATCTAATATAATGAAAAACAATTACATAGCAGTTATCTATTGAGTTCTTTCTAAGGATTTATATTAATCAAAGTGTATTCTTTCCTTTTTAAGATTTTCTTTCTCCCCTTTTTCTTTCAAAATGCTAACCCTCTAAGACACAGCCACTCCTCATTTGCATAATGAGCCAGAAATGTCAAAACGACAGGCAGAAATAAATAAAATTGAAGAAATAAATAGGGTAAAAACAATGCAAGAATAAAACAGACAATAATGTTATAAAATGCACATAAAGAAATACTTTAAAAAAATAAGTAACCAATTAATGAAGTTGAAGATTATAACAGACAATACATAAATAAGGTAATTATTACAAAGGTGAATAAGGAAGCTAATTAAAAGAGATATATACTTTTATTTATTACTGTATAATTCAATTACTTCCTACATTTATTTGTTTATTGTATATTTGGGAGTAATTAATTGTCCCTTAACCCAAACACTGCTCCCTGGGTGCCGCACAATGGCAGCCCACTGTTTCCCAAGTTGATGGGTTAAATGCAGAGAAGTAATTTTTCCTCTGGGAGTATCTATCCCCATTTTGGAAATGAGGAATTTTCTATTTTATTCTATTCACTTGTTTTTCTAACGGTTTTAGTTGATGTTGACATTCCGCGACGATAGATGGCGCCCTTCACTACTTCTGTTTGTTTATCAATGTTCAAAGTAAATGCAGAAGAAGAACGACTGACTGCGATGAAAACAAAACGACGATCTAATATTAAGCATCACATTTCTAGCAATATTGTTCCTTATTTTTCGAAAAGTATCCCGAGTAGTGTAGACTAGTTTTAGATTAAGTTTTTTTCACGCCAAGCTTTGAGTTTAATAGAGAAAAGCTTTTTTCCTTTAAGCACATTTAGTAATAAATTACCCTAACTAGCCTCTAGCGGTCAGCTGTTAGCTTAGCTTCTGCTCCAATCTGACTGTTTCGTGTCTGTTTGTGGGTTAGCTGTCGTTAGAACCAGTTCAGTTTAAAGGTGAGACATGTCGGAAGATTATGAATTCAGCGAAGATCCGAGCATGATGAGGATGGAGGAAGATGGGGACGCCAACTGTGACGATCCCATGTCAGCCTCTGGAGACTGTGGCCTGATGGGAGGAGAGGCCGACGGGTCGAAGATCGATGCCAGTAAAAATGAGGAGGATGAAGGGTAAGATCACCATGGCTGGACTCCTTTTTCAAGGTTTATACTGTCTGACAACTACGGAAGAGGATTAGGGCCACTGAAAAAAATAAAGTAACTGATTTTTAAGTTTTATTTCAGTTTAATATGGTTAAAAATGCAGAATTCTGACTTTTATCACAGAATTCGGAGTTGTATTCTCAGAATCCTGACTTTAATCTCAGAATTGTGACTTTTTTTTCTCAGAATTCTGACTTTTTTCCCCTCAATATTCTGACTTTAATCTCAGAATTCTGACTTTAATCTC